GGAATCACTGAGAACTAAAACTGCCCTTTTCCCAAAGCTATGCGAGCTAAGGTTGGATGACTTGATATGAACTTGAGAGAAATCACCACAAAACAGCCCATGTTTGGACAGTCTTCATGCCTTTCACTCTGTGGGCCACTCAGATCGCCAGAGGCGCTCGCCCTGCAGTCCAGGAGGACACGTCAGATTCCTCTCCTGCCCCTCTTCCATCAGAGCATGCTTTGAGCCCAACATCTACAAATCTCCACCAGCTGCCTTCAGAACTCAGAAACTGAGATTGTAACCTCTCCAGTTGTTAACCTTTTTTTGCTGTTGTCTCCATAGAAATGCCCCCTCTTAAGTGCCCGACTGCTGTGCGCTGTGCTGGTGGCGGGAGCCCACCTGCGTCGGCACCTCTTCATCTGAGACACAGCCTTTAGCCTAACTGACTGATCTTCGGGGCTAAGAGGCTGGTTCAGTGGAGCCAGATAGGGGACAATCTGCCTATGCAGGACAGGTGTGAGCCCATTTACATAGGATGGCCCCAAATATTGACATTTCCCACAGTATTAACCAAATCCTCAAATAGATTCTCAGGGCCCCTGAGATCTCTGATCTGTTTTCACGGCTGGACCCTTCAAGGCTGGTAAAACGGCTACAGACTGGATCTCAGACTCTTACTCTATAGTTACTATAGGATCTGCTACTCTGGGTGTGTACTTTCTGGGCTCCAACCCGACTCTCAACATCTCAGCTACCTGGGCAGCCAGCACCCTCGCCACAGCCCCTGATCGCTAGCACCGCAGAGGAAGCCCCGACAGCTGGTTTCCTGCTCTTTCTTTCTTTCTTTCTTTCTTTCTTTATTAAGGTATCACTGATATACACTCTTATGAAGGTTTCACATGAAAAAACAATGTGGTTACTGCATTTACCCATATTATCAAGTCCCCACCCACACCCCAGTGCAGCTAGTGTCCATCAGTGCAGCAAGATGCCACAGATCCACTATGTGCCTTCTCTGTGCTACACTGTTCTCCCCGTGACCCCCACACCGTGTGTACTAAACATAGTACCCCTCAGTCCCCTTCTCCCTCCCTCCCCACCCGCCCTCCCCCAACTCCTGTTTGGGAACCACTAGTCCCTTCCTGGAGTCTCTGAGTCTGCTGCTGTCTTGTCCCTTTAGTCTTGCTTCGCTGTCATACTCCACAAATGCCTCTCCTTTTTTGTGTAATGCAAGTGACTGGTTTAGCCTTGGCTGCTAAGGCAGCCCTCCAAGGATGGCTTCCCGTAAACACTGCTGGCCGCTCTAGGTGAAGGGCCAGGCCACCCAGCCCAGAGCTCCTGTGTCTTAGACATCTCGGTCAGCTGATCTTAACAGGTCTTCGCTAACTGACCATTTGGGCCACTTTTCTTTTCCAGTGCTTTAAATTCCTGCTTCTATGTTTTAAATACACCAATGAAGAGTGAGCCCACAAAACCCCGGGTCCCTGCTCTCAACCCCAACAAAGCCGAACCTCAGACCCGCTTTCTATTGCTCTCCACCTCTGTCCACCCGCAACCCTGCTGTGTGGCCCCACGTGTGCTGTGTAATTTCCGGGTCTTGTACAAAATAAGCCTCTGGGTTTTCAGTTTCCTGAAGGCTGTTGCTGAGGGCATCTGGCAATCCCAGTAAGAACCACAGGGGCTGGTCCAGCCACAACAGTGGGTATTGGCAGGCTGGGACCCTCTACGGTGCTGAGTCCTGCCGAGAGAGTACCGTGGGCTCCTGAGGGAGGGGGCTGCCAGTCCCCCTCAAGGGGCCTCAGCTGAGGAGGTGCTCTTGCCAGGCCCAGCGCAGCCCCAGGCACAGCCTGCTTCTCCTCGAGTGCCTGATGCCCCGGGTCCGTTGCGCTCTGTGGAAGGCCCACTGCCCACTCCTCAACAACCCATCCTCCTGCTGGTGCACCTGCTGCCCCATGCCTGCTCCACCAGGCCACAGCTTCTCCACCCCGCCTCCCTCCAGGGCCGCTCTGAGAGCCAGGGCTGGACCCCACACCTCTGCCCTTGCAGGGCCCTGACCACACCCCGCTGTCCACCCGGGGGGCCATCCCCACCAGCTGCAGGGGCCCTGTGCCAGCAGCTCTCTCCCAATGAACTCTCTGCTGGAGCTGATGGGGCCTGCCTTGGTCCACTAGAGATGTCCTGATAATACTGACCCTCCCAAAGAAAAGGGTTTGGGGTCTCAGTCCGGCTGACCGCTAGGACTTTCTGTGATGAAGGAAACACTCTGTCTTGGCCGTACAATATGGTTAACCATGAAGCACACATGGCTGGCTGTACAGCACTTGAAATGTGGCTGGTGTGGCTGAGGATCTGATCTCTTAATTAACATTAATTTATCTTTATTGTAGTATAGTTGATACACAATATTACATTGGTTTTAAGTCAACAACAATGATTGAACAGTCTACATTACTAACCCCAACTAGTGTAGTTACTGTCAATATAGAGACGTTACAGAACTGTTAACCATATGCTCCACGCTGCACTCATCCCTGTGACTAATTCATACTGTGATTGAGATTTTGTGCCTCTTTATCCCCTTCACCTTTTTTACCTGCCTACCTTAACTTTCCCCATGGGAACCTCCAGTTATTTGTGTCCATAATCTGCTGTTTTGTTCATTTTGTTTTTAGATTCCACATGTAAGTTGAATCATATGGTATTTGTCTTTCTCTGCCTACAATTATCATTAATTTAAATTCAAGTATAGCTACATGTGTGTAGGACAGCAGTGGAAAAAAACTGCAAGAATTTTCTCCTCCTTTATAGCTTCATATGCCAGGGTATTTATGGCAAATGGATGGCCTTCAACAGCCCCAAAAATGCTGGCCCTGTGCACTCGGCTCAGGGCCAAAAGGAATCTCTCAGGATGTGCAGAAGCTGCGGTCTGTCCACAGCCTGAGAGGGACGGGAGCTCCTGCGGGAAGCCTTTCCGGGGGAGCCCACATGTCTCATCTCCACCCGAGTGCAGCCCCTAACAGGTGCCTCCAAAGAGCATCCTCTGGGACAAGCAGGATGCTCTGCCGTTTCCTGGGACGATGCAGTTTGTGCAAAGTACCGAGCCACTCAGGGACAGAAGAGACTAAGGTCCAGGTCACCCCCCGCCTCGGCCCACTGACCCACCCCTGTACTCCCTGCCACAGATGACAGCAGGACAACCAGGAGGCATTTTGAAGAGGGTGAGCTCCCACCCTGATCACACTACCCAGTCGTTCCACTCCCAGATGTTCACCACCAAGATATGAACACACCTCACATAACTCGTGGAAGGATGGACAGGGCAACTTCATTCAAACAGTCAAAACCCATTAGACCCCAATGTCCTCCAGCAGGCCCACCAGAGTGGACTTCCTCACAGCAGTAGGAAGGGTGGCCTGCTCGTTCGCCCTCACGTCACATGCCCTGCAAAGCCCCCCCCCATGGCCTGGTGCTGCTCACGGGGAACCCCCCAACCCAGAGGCGCCCTCAGCCATAGGAGTGGAGCAGGGCTGTGGCAGGACTGGACCAGGTGCCTGGCTGCAAAGGGGTGCGGAGACCTGGGGGAGGGCGGTGCTCTGGCCTTGGCCAGCTGGTGGTCACGTGATCGTACACACTCATCAAAGCTCACATGGCAGTTAAAACTGTGAATTGCATGGCGGTAATTTCTGTATTGGTGTAAAAGTTGCAGAGCGGGCTGATGCGACTCATGGGCACTTCTCTCCAGAGCTCCAGCTGAGGGTGGAGGGAAGGTGAGGTGCCCTCAGGGCCCACCAGGGAGGGAGGCCCAGGTAGCGGAGCCCCCACCCGAGGCTGCAAGCAGCCCCTTCCCTTCCCAGGTCTGTTCCCTCCCGTATGAGATGAACGTGGGGGCTGCACTGCAGTAAGTGGGTGCTTCTCACTTCCATGGAAGGTGGTCACGCAAGACTCTCTAAGAGGGTCCTTCATCCAATAGGGATGTAAAACCTCCCTTGCTGCTCTGGGAGACTCACCATGCACATTAGCTTATTAAGGGCTCTGAAGAGTCCTGCAGAAGCCCTGTTTCGCTCTCACTAACCCCAATTTCCCAGAATCTGCCCCTTTTCATAGACTATACAAGCACCCCAGGAGGCCTGGGTTTTAGGCTCAAAGGCCTGAAACAGGCCCAGCTCCCCACCTCCAGGCATTGCTCAGGACCGGGGAGGGACAGGTCCCGGAAACCGCGGCACCCCCACCCCAGCATCTCTGCCTCCGGTGGGCATTTGCCAACACGCCGACAGTGGATGGCACAAGAGGCTCTGACTCAACCAGTATGGGAGAGAGCCCCAGGAGCCCTTTCACCTCCCAGGAGCCCGGGAATCGAGAAAAACTGGAATGGGGCAGTGTTTCCACTGGTCCGGACCCCAGCACATTCCGTGGGATCACAGCCCCCAGGTACAAGTGTACAGAGTTCAGCCGCTCTCCAGGACCTCTGCTTCCAGAGGGAGGGTACCAGGAAACCTCACGAGAAGCGTGGCCCTCTGGGATGAAGCCCTCCCCTCCCTCCAGCATCTACTGTGGCTCCCATCTGCCCCCATGGCCTCCATCCCCTGCCTGCCCACTGCCTCTGACCTGACTCCATCCTGTCACCTCTATCTGGGGGAGTCACCTCTTGAAATGTCCACACCAGACACTCACTCACTGCAGTGCACATGAGTGTAGCGTCACTCAGCATGGGGGCGGGGCAAGCAAGAGTCGGTAATCCCTTGCATCTCTCCAGTGTACTTTATTTCAAACTTCTGGAAACTATAACAGGTCTTGCTTTGCTCTCTGCTAATGCCTCTGTGTGGTGCACTGATTGGGGTCATTCCTCCCTTTTCCTTGAGGGGTAAAACTGTGACAGAGTGGTAGAGAGGGTGACACCTAAGCTGTAAGGGCAGCTGAGACTAACAGCGCAGGTCCGGGCGGCGGCCCTGAGCACGTCCCAGCCTGCAGGGCGCTGGGGACAGAGTCGCGGCATCAGAGCGCGCCGGGCTTTCCACGCAGGCAGAGCCCCCAGCCCGGCCCTCTAGTTACAGCTGCCTTTCTGCCTACAGCACCCACTTCTTTCGCCGAGAATATTCTCCTGGGAAACGGGTGCCCTCTGGTGGCCCTGCCGGTGCTCTGCCGATGCCCAGTCCTCAGCCTCTGCAGGGGGGAAAAGGCCTCCAAGGATCACCCCCAGCCCTACCGGAAGCCCGTCCACCCTCCGCAGAGCTTCGGGGAGGCCCTTCCCAGCCCGCTGCCGGCAGGGTGACACGCACACTCCTGGCATCCATTCGCCCACAGACATTTCTCCTTATGACTGCCAGCCAGACTCAGCGCCGCTGGGAGCCTGGGGCCGGCATGTCCAGGGCCCGAGGCTGCTCCGGCCCCCCTGCCCTGTTCCCACCCTTGAGGGCCAATGGGCTCCCGCCATCAAGATCCCTCTGAGCACCTGCAGACGGAGCATCTGGGGAAGGGCGTCCCGAGAGCCCAGGCAGGCAGCACCTGTGGCGGATTCCGCACAACAAAGGCCTAGGGAACCTGCCAGATGCCAGCCGTGGCGCAGGGAGGTGCGTGTGTGAATGGGGTGGGTGGGTTCCACAGCCAAGTGAGGATAGAGATGAGAGATCAGAGATAGCATTCTTTTTTTACTGTGACGGGCAGGAGTACAGCTGGAGGGGAAAGCGGGGTCAAGGGAAGGTTGTTTCACTATTGGTAACAGGCATTCATTAAAATTTGTCATTCATACAGAGAAGTCAACATACCACGAGTGTGAATTTCTACCAGGTAAGCACATCCATATGGCCAGTTCCCCAAGTTCTGCTCACGGTCCCATCCGGTCCTCCCCCCAACAAAGGTAACCAGTACCTTCCCTTCCACCACTGAGGATAAAAGCAGGACTTGTCACCTTCTACAGTTCATGTCAGTGGAATCAAACAGCAGTCTGCTCCTCGTCCAGTTGTCCTGGATCCTGAGACCCACCTGTGAGCAGCTGTTCCCTGTCACTGCTGCGGCAAAGAGCTTCTCCTCAGCCCTTGGTGAGGAGCATTCAGACTGCTCACTGCCGTAGCTGGGACATGCTCTGCAGGTGCTTCTTGGGTCATCTGTGGACTGGGCGGAGCCTCACGGCATCTCGGATCCCCAGCAGCTTCCTAGCCTGCAGTCTCCCAGGCCTCCCTCAGGTGCACGTCTGAGCCACAAACTGCCCGCTGCCTCCCCGCTGTTCCTTCCCCAGCCCCAAGTCCAGGACATGGGGCTCAGACTGCCTTCACCACTGGTGCTCACATCCAGACTCTTACAGCCCTTGGCACCCCCAGGGAACGTCACCAGCCTCGTGCTGAGCCCCAGATTGCTCTCCTGAGCGCCAGCCCCACACCACACTGGCACAAAACCGAGCTCACCCAATGCCTCCAAGAGAGGTGCCCTCTATGGTACTAATCAGTCAGCCTCGCGGTGCCAACATCCTCATCTGGGATGGTCTTACCACCTCCCCCCTGCCCCCTTTGACCATTATCAAGCCCAGTGGGCATTCCCTCCTCCCTGGCTCCCTCCCTTCTCTCGCCATGACCTTGGACGCCCATCCTAGCTTAGGCTTCCTCCGTCCCCCATCCTAGGTTAGGCTTCCTCCGCCCCCACTGAGCCACCCTGCAGGAGTTCTCCTGATGTTCTCCAGCCCTCCACATCCTCTGCAGCCCAAAGACGCCCTACCCCCAGCAAGCCCAAAGTCCTTCCAGAGCCACCCCTCCTCCCACTTGGGTCCCTCTCCACCACGCCAGGAGCCCACTCTAGGGACACCTTGGAAGTCCCCCAATAAAGCCGTTCCCACCTGTGGGCCTCCAAGGGCTCGCTGCTCCCTTACAAAGCACACCTTGCTGGCTTGGAATCCCCATTTCCATGGCCCTCACCTTCAAGCTTGGCAGCTTTAATCTCTTTCATTAAATGCCCCTCCCTTCCTCTAGCCTCCCCTCCCACCTCCAGGTGCCCAGCCCTTCACCCAAAGTTGGGTTTATCTTGGTGGTGGCCCTTTATCACCAGGATCATCCTGGGAGATTACGTTTGGCATGGCATTGTATTTCGAGCACTGGGTTTGTCCCTATAAACAATGAATAAACACTTGTTGAAAGAATGAATGCAAAAACAGAGATATTAAGCCCAGAATTACACAAAACAGGAGTAGGAAGAAATTTTCAGATTTAAGAGGAAAACATTTGCAGTAGTGGACTGGGCGGGATAGGGCACCCACAGACCATGGAAACGCCACATACCCTGGGGTTTCTGGAGGTTCAGGAGGGTTGTGGCCGGGGCTGGAGAGCTTGTAGGGAAATGGGAGACGAAGCAAGATCCTGCCTTGCTGTACGGGATCAGTTCTCAGCCAGAGGCTTTGGGCTGAAGCCCAGCTATTGCTTAATCTTTAGGTCACAGGCCATCCTAACATTAATTTTAGGGGCACATAGCCGGGATCTTTTAAGTGATATAAATGTAATGGAAAATAGTGTATTGCATGTAGTGTAAGTAAATGATGTTCTGAAAACTTTGATGTGTCTTCTGGGTCACGGGTCCAAAATGCAGGGGAGCCCCCGCTTTTAAGCAATGGGTGGGAGGGGATCAAGCGTGCATTTTTAGGGAGATCACTTGGGGGGGGTCAGGGCTTGGGAGTCCAGCCAGACTGGGGCCGTGTGGGAAGGCAGAAGTGTGGTGGAGGGGCCACTTCCTGCCACGGCACTAGGGAGGGGGGCAGGTTCGGGAGAAAGGAGAGAGGGAAGCCCGCTCAGGTGCATTCAGAGGAGGGGGCGGAACTCAGGCGGGGGTGATGGTTGGAGACAGGCACGTGGCAGTTCGGAGGGACGAGGGGGGAGGCTGAAGCATCCCCGGGGTGGGTGACACTGTTCCGAAAGCACCGTGAAAGGGCGGGGTTTTCTGCTAGGAAAGCTTGTCGCCCAGAGCATTCAGCCAGGACACAGGACTTAGCCTCTGCTCGGAAACCCGTCCAACAAAGCTTGTTACCCGCCGTGGTACAGGACAAATACGAATCACACGTTAGAATAGCATGGGTAACGGCTGATCCTCAATGGCCTCAAAAGTCACACAGCTCCGTGGTTCCCAAGCCTGGCTGAGAGGCACTCCAGGCCTTTTGGGGTATCACTTGAACTTGTATTGGGTACGCGGGTCACCTACTCAATAAATAACCAAGTGTAGGTCAAGACGCCCCGGACGACGGAGGCGGCGCTGGAACGCGGGGGCAGCTCCAAGGCGCCGGCTGCAGGCTTGCTGACTGTTCGGCGCGTCCTGGGAAGCTGCGGCCCGACCTTCCTTCTCAGGGTTCGCGCCTCGCGCCGTCTCCCGAGGCTTGCAGAGCGCACCCGTCCTGCTCCGGAGTAACACACAGGTGAGTCAGAGAACGAGCGATTCTTTCCCAAAAGAAAACAAGTCTAGTAAATTGATGGGGAAGCTCGGAGTTCCGGTTTGTTTCTAACAGGGAGAATCCATCCCCCACCCAAACAGGCGGGGCACGATCCCGCGGCGCCCGCAGCTGCCGAGGGCTGGAGGGCCGCGCGAGCGCGAACTACGTCTCCCGGCATGCTCCGGGCCAGCAGGGCCCCGCCCCTTCCCGAGAGCGGGCGACCTGGCGGAGGCCGGAGAGCCGCTTCCTCTTCCTCTCTCATTGGGGCAGCCCTGTGCCATTCGGGCGCGAGGGGAAGGTGCTGCTTACTGATTGGCGGATGCCGTTTGGCGCCAACTAGGAAAGGGGGGCGGGGCAGCGGCGGTCCCCAGTGAGCAGCTAGCTATTACCGCGAAAGGCCTTCTCGGCGGCGACGGCCCGGGAGGGAGGTGGAGGTCGGCTGGGTCCCCCGAGACCCCAGGCTGGGCAAGGAGGCGAGAGAAAAGCGGAGAGGGCGTGAGCCCGTTGCCTCGCGGCTCTGGCCGTCCGCCGTGCTTGTTTGTGTTTAATCCTCAGGTCGCCGCCTCGCGGAGGGGAGCCCCCGTGCCTGGCCGCCGCCTGCCGGGGCTGGGCTCCGCCCGTCCGCGCCGCCTTCCCGCGGCGGCCGCGTCCCGCAGCCGCGGGGCCGTGTTTGCGTTTGACCCCCGTGGGCGCGAGGCCGCGGCCGGTGTGGGCGGGCGCGGCGGAGGCGGGGAGGCGGGAGCCGCCATGGAGCTGGGCCCCGAGCCCCCGCACCGGCGCCGCCTGCTCTTCGCCCGCAGCCCGCCTCCCGCGCAGCAGCCCGTCGTGAAGGCGCTGTTCGGCGCGCCGGCCTCCGGGGGCCTGTCGCCCGTCACCAGCCTGGCGGCCACCATGGGCCGGCTGCCGGGGCTGGGCAGGTGAGGCGCGGCGGGCCGGGGCGCGGGGCGCGGGGCCGGGCCTCCGGGCCGCCGCGGCGCTCAGCCGGGCCACGCGCGCTGCTCTCTTCCAGCGAGTGCGGGCGGCCGCCGGAGGCGAGGAACGGCAGCCTGCAGAGGACGGGCTCCTGCGAGTCCACCGACTCGGGTAGGCCTGGCGTCGGGCCCCGCGCTCGCCCTGCCCCAGGGGCGCCCCCAGGCCCGGGTCCCACGCGGCCCGGCGGGGCGGGACGCCGGCAGCCCAGGCTCCCCCGCTGGGACCCCGGGAGGCCCTCCACTGTCCCCAAGGCCCCTGGACGTGTTCGCGGGTCGGGGAGGGCTTGGTGGGCGAGCGCGGAAACGCGAGGACACGTGCGGACGGGGGGCGCCCCGACCGGCTCAGGCCCAAGCCACGCGTCTTGCTTAACTGGCTTAAAGAGAAAGGCGCTGGTGCTTTTATTTATGTTGGTTTTGATGACAGTGGTGTTTTGTGTATTTTCTCCTGAGATACTTTTCTCCCCACAGGCTTTTGTCTGGATTCTCCTGGGCCCTTGGACAGAAGAGAAAAGTATATATCCATTGCTTTTAAGTGCTGTGCTTAGAATTAGCTTCTTAATCTTGAACGGAATAGGTGCCCTGGCCGGGCTGTCCCTCGTGAGACTGCTGGGCTGTGCGCAGCCATCTGCGCATGAGGAGTTGGTGTCCCCGGGGTCACAACTTCCCCTTTGTGGTGGCTGCCATGGTGTCCTCTCAAGTCTCCCCTAACCCTCCACGTCCCAGAGCGCGTGTGTTAAGGGAAGACCTGGGCTGGCTTTTCTCACCTAGAAGCCCAGTCTTGGGGTGCTTGTGAGAACGGGACAGCTTGGGAAGTCTGTTCTTCCGTCTTACCTAAAACCGGACTAGGTTTGCCTGCCTGTCCCCCCAGACTGTAGGCTAGACTCTGTGCCTCTGCTGACGTGTCTGCCTCTTTACTGCTTCGTTCTCATTGCTGCCCTTCTGATCCCATTGCAGCCTTGAAAATCCCATGAGGAGAATAAACCCCCTGCCTGTAAGTTCCCTCGTTTGTTTTGCGCTAATGCCCGCTATCAGCCTCCCACCCCAGAGGCCAGCACAACCTTATACCTTATTTTACGTGGGAGTATACCTTAATTTATGTGGGAGTATACCTTAATTTACGTGGGCGACACGGCTTTTCCTCAGTGTCCTGGGCAGTCGAAACAGTCTCCTAAAGCCACTTCAGTATCACCTGCCTATCTAGGGTTCTTTCTTCCATCTCTCAGAATTTTATCGAACCAGGGAGTATTTCTTTTACGCACATGGTGTGATTTTGGGGTTGATGTGGCACCTGAGCCCTGCAGAGGCTGCATCCTTGTGAGGGTGGGTGTGGAACCCTGCCCTGGGTGGGAACTTATGCCCTTTGTCCCCCTGCATTCATAGCTCACCTACTGCCCTGGGTGGGGCTAGGCCTCTGCCACCGTGTCTTTCCTTTGAGAGTGAGTTCTCATTGAGTTCTGGTTCGTGTACCCTGATTCCTTTGTTTCACCTTGATAGCGGAAGCTCCTGGGGTGTAGCCCTGCCCTGAAGAGGAGTCATTCTGACTCGCTTGACCATGATGTCTTCCAGCTAATCGACCCCGATGAGAACAAGGAAAACGTGAGTGGGTATCCGTGCTCTACCCTACAGTCTGTGGCTTACAGGAAAGTGGCTGGTTGGTTTTGGGAGACTAAGCCTTCACCAGAGTCATGCGAGGTCTTTGGAGTTAGAAACCTGGATTGACCGGGTTTAGCTGTGTGACCAGGACCAGTCACAGTTTTTTAGACTGTCTCTTCATTTGTAAAATAGGAGTAGCAGTTCTGTAGGGCTGACCTGGGTTGTGTAAAGTGACATGTGGAAAGCTGGCTCCTGGAAGCAGGAGCCGCTCAGATGGTAGCTCTTAGGAGTGCCTTAAGTTCATGAATGCTTAGTCTGGGAGGTCTCCCCAGGCCTTCCTGGCCCCTGTGCCAACCCTGGAATGACTTAGGTCAGGAAAAGGCTCCTTGGTGCATTTGGAAGAACGAGGCCAAGTCCCAGGTTGCCTCAGAGCAGTTGAAATGGTTGCTTATAGGGTGAGCTTATGGTTGTCCATTGAAAAGTGCAGGATCACTCTGGCCTGCTGTCCTGTCACCTGGAAGGGCGACTGGCACAGGGGCTGCTCTGAAGTAGCTAATGCGTGAGCGTACCTTGTCCATCTTTCTTCTCACTGTATTTCAATATCCATTAACTTCCCTTTTCCACTCCCTGCTAAAATGCCACAGTTTATAATCCTAAGAGTCTTCAGGTTTAGCGTAAAACCTGCTTCCTCTATCCACTCTCCCAGAGATTCCTTCAGCAGCTTGAGAGGTGTTCTGAGGGAGAATGCAAAATAATTCCTGAGTATGGGAAGCAGTCCGGCAGCCTCTGTATGCTGCTTTCTACCCTTCAGGCTCCAGCTGCACCCATTGGTGCAGGGTTTCCCCTGAGCTTGGCCCCCTGGGTTGACCTGCTTGGAGCTTTATTCTGGAAGGAGATGTGCAGGCGAAAGTTTAGTGAGCTCTCCTCTGGACTGTCCTGTCTGGTGTTGTGATCTTAGGCACATTCCACACCCTGTAGGGCCTGATGTCCTCATCTGTAAAGTGGAGTGATGGGGCCATAGCTGATGGTTGAATGAGTTAGTGCACAGAAAGCACTCAGTATGGTGTTGCCATGTAAACACTGATGTTGCCACTGCTCGGCAAGTCCTTGGGCCAGTGTGTGGGCACTTAATGTGCTTTCACACGCTGAGGAAATGGGATCATACAGAAGTAGCTGGGCACGTCTGGCTTTCACTCAACATTATGTGAGATTCGTCCATGTTTTAAATAAACCAGTAGGTTTTTTTTCCGTTGCTTTTAGTAAGGAATACAATAATTTTAAGTGGGGAAAAACTGTCTCCCGTGGGTAGAAAGAAGGTGGAAAAGACAAAGCCTCAGACATAAATGTAGAGTGAAAAGTTTTGACTTCACAGGCAATTGTATTGAAACAGCTTTGCTTTATTTTAAAGTTGATTTAGCTGTTATTTCAGTGTTTTGGATACTCTACAGATATTCTTATATTAGTTAGGAAATCAAGTATTTGTGTTGAGAGGGAAAAAAAATGCATTAGAAGTTAGTTGTTGACAGTCTTTCAAATTCCTTATTGGATGGATCCAGTGCTGGAATTAGATCAGAGATGGGTAAACCCTGAGTCGGGGGGCAGTGCCTGCTCCCTGGTCTGTCCCTTCGGGGATACAGCTGAGGGTCTAGAGCTGGTGTTTGTGGACAGGGAATGATGCCCTGACTATACTATCTTGCAGGAAGCCTTTGAGTTTAAGAAGCCTGTAAGACCCGCGTCTCGAGGCTGCCTGCATCCTCATGGACCTGAGGAGGGTAAAGATTTCTTCACACAGAGGCAGAACTCTGCCCCTGCTCGGATGGTATGTGTTCTGGCTTTCATAGGGAGATCCTGACGGGAAGGGAATCAAAGCATTCTCATTGCCTGGATTGAAGACACCACAGTAGCTCTTGGCTGTCTTTGTCTGGCTTTGTCTTTTGAAACTAGACTGTCAGATTTTTGGTGTTTTTGCTGAGTCCAGAGAGCAGACAGGCAGAACTAGGTGGGAGATGGTATGTCTGGAATACTGGACTCAAGCGAGGAGTGCTTGACCTCGTCCATTCTGGGTAAAGAGATCTGTAGGTGTCCCAGGTTGTTCTCCTAAGTGTGCGTGGGGGGGTCATGTCTTATTTAAACCTGTTCTTTCACAGTGCATCCTGTGTTAAGAAGTACTTCCCAGAGTGATTTTGTTTGGAGAGAGCATGTGGCTTTTTCCAAGGGTGGCTTATTAAGAACTATTCTGGATTGCAGTCAACCCACTGCCTATGGGCTACTTGACAGTGTTTAGGGCCATTTGCCCCAGGGTTATTTATTTGCCAAACAGACTCATTACTTCCAAAGTTTCCCACTGCTGATCTGGCACTGTGGACTAGGAGGCCTAACTTGAGCAGAAGGAGCACTTTGGTTTCCAGGTTTTCCTGGGAACCTGCACCTGAGAATACAGCATCCCTTCTGGCTTGTGGTCTGTGGTTCAGCTCCAGGCAGTGTTGCTGCTCTAGCATTTGCTCAGAGCACTTTGATATATGTTTTTATCTTTAATCTTCATTAGCCTGTGAGGTAGCCAGTGTTCACCCATTTTACAGACTGAGAAATTATGGTCAGGGTAGTTGGGTGATTTGCCAAAGGACACAGAAAAATTGCCCAGGATTTAACAAAATCTCGTTTCTAAATATGCAGTAACCCTTGGAGGGCTGTGTATCCAAATTGAAATACCTTCAGTGTGCCCTGAAGACCGGAGCACCAGGGTCTCCTGTGGTCATTTGGCCCTCCCTAATTGGAGGTGCCGGGGTCCCAGGGCCACTCTCACCAGTCTGGCTTTTGGTCATGTCGGTGGGTGTTTCTTCTGGTCCCTGGGTGCTGTCTGTCCTTCCTCGTAATGGCTTCTTAGCATAGGAGTCAAGGAGAAAGAATGAGGTGTCCTGTCCAGAGGCCTGTTATTTTTTGTGTCACATTTGCGCTGGGATCCCAGAGCCTAGGTCACAAGTGGGTGTGGTAACCACAGAGTGCCTACCCCTTGGTTCTGCTGGTTAAAAACCCACTGTGTGCATCTGTGGAGTGTTGGCATGACCCAGAGCTGGTTTTTTACTGGTTTTATACACAGAGTAGGCCAGCGGCAGAGAGGATTCCTAGGTGAGTGATTGACTGAAAACCAGAGCACCGCTTGAGGATCAGTAAATTCAGACCCAGAGGGACTTGGGTCTCATGAAGGATTGTTTGTAGGACTTGGGATGGAACTGCCTTATTACTGCAGAAGAAGGCATGTCTGAACTTTTCTCCTGGCTTTGGAAAGCATCTAGAAAAGAAACAATTCAATATCAGCAATGTTTGTTGTATCAGTGTTTTACTAGATGCTAGATTTATGAGTAAGTAGTTTTTCTAAGTTTTCCTATATTAAATATAAGTTTTATGATGGCAGTTCCCCCAAAACACCCAACATAGGGCTGCCTAATGAGATGTACAGTTTTTACTCGGTGAGGGACTGTAGTAGGAGAGGAGCTTGGGCTTTGGGATAAACAGGTGAGCTGTAGGCTCTACGCATCAGTTTCCCTATTTACTAAACAAGAAGATCGACTACCTGTAGTGTGTTGTGAGGCTTAAGTGGGGGTTCTGCATGTAGAGATTATATAGTGTCTGGGACCCAGTCATTCCTCAGTGGAAACCTGAGCAGCTGTCATGTAAATTCCAAGTCTAGAGAGCCAGGACAGACTTTCTGGAACCAGACCACCCCTTCTCCCTCTGTTAGAACTGGGGTTAGATAAGCCTTCTCTGGGCTGCTCCGTGGCCTCAGAGACTTGTGTCTTCTTGCCCCTCTTGGTTTCAGCGGATTAAGCCAGCCCTCTATGGTCTGTTTCCTGAGTACAGTCCTCTGACAAAGCCTGGACCTTCCTAAGAGGCTATAGAAGTGAATTGCTTCGGGGAAGTTTTCTGTGAAGGCCGCTTGGCCTGGCTGGACTGGGACTATGTGTAGACATAATGATTTATAGTCTTGGGATTCATTTTCCTTTGGTTAGTAGCTGCTAAAATTTTACTTATAATATGTTTCCTTGTAAAATCTAGTGACCTGTCCAAGGAAATGAAAGCTGGTCATTTATTAACAAGCTATGAATTCTGCCTTATAGCTTTCCTCACATGAGAGAGATAGTGGCAAACCTCTTTTTCTGCCCCAGTCACCTGTGGCTGCCACTCTATCCGACGAAGACGATGGCTTTGTGGACCTTCTTGACGGAGAGAGTCTGAAGGTACTGTCCCCCACCCGGCCTGACTTGGTGGGAACTTGGTGATGATTCACTGGAACGGCTTCTAGCCTGATAAATCCTGAGGGGCTTCAAAAGGAGACCCTGGAGTGACCCTTCTTGCCCTGAGTTGCTGACAGCTTATTTCTGTGTAAGAAACATGAACCAGGGTCACTGGAGGCCTGGCCTGCCTGTGGTGTGAAAAGACCGAGGGCACCTTGCATCCTCTCTAGGACACATCCAGGTAAAGTGTGCCTCTGCCAGGCCTGTGACGCAGCTCTCCTCCCTTTAGAATGACGAAGAGACCCCGTCGTGTGTGGCAAGCCTCTGGACTGCTCCCCTCGTCATGAGGAGAAATATGAACATCGTAAGTTGTTCCTTGGAGTCTGGGGGGCTGCCCTGAGCAGAGGCTGGCCGTGCTGCCCTTGGCTCTGGTCATTTCTTCTGAGCCTCCATCTGTGTGTGGGCCTTTCCCCTGACCCGCTGGCGTTCTCCAGTGTAAGCATACTGTTCTCAGGTTCCCTCCTTGTCAGAGGGAGGGAGTCTGGGTGATGTACATCCATGTGGTTCTTATTTCGTAATCTTTACCCCAGCCATTCTTGGCCAGTTCACGTCCTTTCCATACTACTCTGACCCCCTAACTGCTGGTTGAAGATTGCAGGAAAATATCTCTCTGCCAAGCTGATTTTTGAGAGGCTCAGTCATTTTTAAACTATAAGATGTGGTATATTGGCTTAGGCTTTAATGGGCAGCTTTATGAGTGAGCAGTGGGGAGCTGGCAAAAGGAATGTGGTCTCAGGCATAGAAAGCCATCAGCTAGGTCCGCCGATGGCCCTGCAGGACACTTCTCAGAGGTGTCGGCTGGAGAACCCCTCCCAGAAGAGAGGATGCTAACCTGCCCTCTGACTGGGGCAGAGAGAATGAGCTGCAGCACCCTCCCATTTCCCCTCCACCCCTGAGAATGTGAGAGGCCAGCGCACATTCAGGCAGCCAGGAGATTGAGGAGACCCAACCGGGATGCATACAGTGGGCTGCCTGGGGGAGTTGGGGCAGAAAGGCTTCATTTGGTGACGAATCAGCCTTGCTCTTAAATGCAGGGGAAAAAAACTGAATCAGACCATAGAGCCTCAAGGTCCCTGTAGCGTTGCTTGTTGGGCCAGAGAGGGGTCAGGGAGGGAGGTGGGAGGACCCCGTATTGCAGGGGCACCCTCCTTCAGAAGTGGCCCTGACAGGCAGAGGGCACGCCAGGCCCGTGAGCCCAGCCCATAGCCCACTGTGGGGCCACCAGCTCCTCAAAGTGACTATTTGCAGTGGGTCTGGTGGCCTTCTGTCCCTGGGTCTCAGGCTCTCACCTTTCTTGCTCTTGTTTTATCTGCCAAACATGCAGAGCCCTGCTTTACCTCTGTTCGGATTCTGCTTTACTTGTAGGTACATCCCATGTAGAGTTAAGTATTATTCTGGAGCTGTGTCTGTCTGTTCCCTTAATCTGTAAATCAGGCAGGGTTGGGAGGAGGGACCCAAGTTGTTTCTGGCCGTAGCATCTAGGTGGCAAAAGCTGCTTTTGTCTGAAGACCACTGCCTTTTCCTTGAGGTCAGTCTCCCTTGTTTATATTCCTCATTGCTTAGCACACCTCACAATAGCAGGGCAGTTTTAATTGAGAATACCCTCGCTATCGGTGTATAGACTTAGATTTCCATCTCGGACACTCAAAGTCCAGCCAGGCTGTGCCCACAGACTCTTGGGCTCATCTGTCGTGTGCACGCCTATTTTCTCTGTACAGATTAAGTCTCACACCCTCAGGTATACATACAAATTGAGGCCCTTAAGAGTTTTCCCTTGAAGCCCCTGAACTATAAGTATGGGACAAATGAAGGATACTCTTTAAGTCCAGTTAAAAATTAAAGTAAGTTAATGTGTGTCGCTTTGAGGAACCAGGCTACCCAATACAAATGCCATGACTAAATTTTCTAGGTCCTTTTGAAAGACATAAAATTATATACGATATACAATGCTTGGGAAATGGCTGTCAGTCTCTTAAACTGGATTTAGGAGTCACAGCACACCCTGGGTTCTTCAGGTCAGGACTTCCTCTGGGGATGGTCACCAGGGACCCGGTCACTGCAGGCTGTGTTGGAACTATGGTGTCTGCCCTTGAGCTCAGTTCACCTCTGATACCCTTTTGAAAGCAGTGGATCCTCTTCCAAAAAATGCTCCCAGCTCTTCTAGGTTGAAAAGAAACCCTCTGGTCTTGCTTTTCTGAAAATATTCTATTAAAATGAACTTGTGAAAAATTAGGATGAAATCCTTGCTCTCTTGGGGAGCTGCCAAGGGGTTGGTGCACTGCAGTCAGGTTATCAGGGATATTTCAGAAAAGGCAACTCTGAGACGAGTGTTTACTGGGTGTAGAAGGAGGCTGTGCCACGGGGAGCTGTGGACAGACAGACATTCAGAGCTGCAGTTCACTGCCTCTACCACCAGCCAGGCCAGCTGCCCTAGGACTCTGGGAAATTTGCCTTAAAAAGACTATGCAGGGAGGCCTTGTGAACCCAGGTTTGGAGGTGTTTGCTTCTGGGCACCTCTCTTTATACCATTTTAACCCCTCACTACCTATCTGTTAGTATGTCCCAGCTACCCCACACCTTTTCTGGATTTAGGTGGGTGAGACTAAAGCCTGCTGAGCCGCTCAAGCAGGGTACAAGTAACAGAATGGAAGAGGCAATCAAAAATGTGTTCCAGCAGGGAGGTGGCAGTCACTTGACTCAGGACCCTGCGCAGACAGCAGGCTCCTGAGGGGGCAGGTTGTTGTCATGTCCACTGAGGCCGGCTCAGCGCTGCTGCAGCTCGGCCTGCGTGTCCTGTGTGCCAGGGCCAGGGAGTGGACAGCTGCTTCCTGATGGGTGTGGATCTTAAACCGCTGCCCTTGCCATTCGAGGGAGCAGGTTTTCATGGAAGGATGGTCTCTTCTCTTTAAGGGCAACAGAGACATGCCGAGTGAGTCCCCACCCACGGGCAGCCCCACTGCCTGGTCGGTGCTGAAAAGACCCGACCGCTCTCCAGAGGAGCCGCCACCTGGAAGTAGGAAGCGGAGGAGGAGCAGGGCTGGGGCCTGTCCCACAGCGGCCAGTCCGGAGGAGCCCCAGGAGGTGCGTTGTGCAAGCTCCTTCTTGCTCAAGGAGAGTGATACTGTGTTTTCCCGTTCTAAAATTTCCACTTGGTTCTTTTTCTGTGCTGAGACTTGCTGTTTTGCATTTTGTTTGTTGGAAGTGTGTTTGTAATTGCCTGTTGAAGCACTTTTTGTCAAAGCTGCTTTAAAATCCTTGTCAGATTTTCCGACATCTGTGTCATGGTGTTGGCCCGTGTTGATATCTATTCCTATTCAAGGTGAGATTTTCCTGGATCCGGTGTGACAAGGAATTTTCCAATTGTATCCTGTGTATTTGGGGTATCATAAGACGCGGGTCCACATTAATCCAGCAGGCTTCTGATTCTGTGGGGCACGTGGAGAGTGTTCTGCCTCCCCAGCACACCTCCCTTGACACCCACAGTGGGCACCAGTCTCACCATTCTGGGGGGCAGGGGGGCGGAGTGCATGCTCCTAGGAGGCTCTGCTGGTACCATCCCAGTGGAGTTGAGGCTCCCCGCTTGTGGATGGGCTGGTGCAGAGCCCCAGCATTCCCTTGGTATGTGGCTGGGGAAGGTGACTGTCTGAATACTTCTGTCTCGCTGTCTGCCTGCTTCCCAGTCCTTAGCTGGGGAACAGGCTGTCCTAGAGCTTCCTGGTCTGTGGCTTTGCTGCCCACTATCTCCACTATGGGAAGTTAATGCTAAGCTTGTTTTTACTCATCTTTGTTTCCTGACCTGTGTAGAGCTGTAAACTTCCTTCCCTTTAGATTCTCTCTCAACATTGATGGTTTTTCATTGTCACTTCTTAGTTCTAGGTATTTTAGGTTATTTTCTTTTAACCCAGACCTGTCATGGCCAAATAAAGCTTTATTTTTAATAAAGGTTTTTTTTACCTGTACTCAAAAGTATCCTCTTTGATGTCATTCAGTATGTCTGATCCTGTTAAATCAATGGCTCAAGTTAATGAATCACATTGCTCACAGTTGGATGGTTTTTGTGCTGTTTGGGACTTTTCTCTAATATGAACATTCCAGTAGGTCAGTACACAAATGTTAATTATTTTCAAGTAACTATATGAGTGTCCTTATGGGTATGCTGTTTTTCTGTTGGTTGACATTTATTTATTTTTGTGTCATTAATATGCAACCACATGAGCAACATTGTGGTTATTAGATTCCCCCCATTATCAAGACCCCACCAAATGCCCATTACAGTCACTGTCCATCAGTGTAGTAAGACGCTATAGAGTCACTAGTCTTTGGGGTATACTGCCTTCCCCCTGCCTCCCCTGTGTTATGTGTGCTAATCATAATGCCCCTTATTCCCCTTCTCCCTCTCTTCCCACCCACCCTGCCCAGTCCCCTTTCCCTTTGGAGCTATTAGTCCCTTCTTGGGTTCTGTGATTCTGCTGCTGTTTTGTTCCTTCAGTCTTTCTTTGTTCTTATACTCCACATATGAGTGAAATCATTTGGTGTTTGTCTTTCTCTGCCTGGCTTATTTATACCCTCCAGCTCCATCCATGTTGTTGCAAATGGTAGGCTTTGTTTTCTTCTTATGGCTGAATAATATTCCATCGTGTATATGTACCACATATTCTTTATCCATTCATCTACTGATGGACACTTAGGTTGCTTCCATTTCTTGGCTATTGTAAATAGTGGCTTTTGGATGTAGAGTTCTATAGATGTCTATTAGGTCCATCTGTTCTAGTGTGTTGTTCAGTGTCTCTGTGTCCTTATTTTCTGTCCGGTGGATCTATCCTTTGGAGTGAGTGGCATGTTGAAGTCTCCTAAAATGAATGCATTGCATTCCCTTTCCTCCTTTAGTTCTGTTAGAATTTGTTTCACATATGTTGGTGCTCCTGTGTTGGGTGCATATATATTTATAATGGTTATATCCTCTTGTTGGACTGAGCCCTTTATCATTATGTAATGTCCTTCTTTATCTTTTGTTACTTTCTTTGTGTTGAGGTCTATTTTGTCTGATACTAGTACTGCAACACCTGCTTTTTTCTCCCTGTTTGCATGAAATATCTTTTTCCATCCCTTGGTTTTTAGTCTGTGCATGTCTTTGGGTTTGAGGTGAGCCTCTTGTAAGCAGCACAGAGATGGGTCTTGCTTTTTTTTATCCATTCTATTACTCTGTGCCTTTTGATTGGTACATTCAGTCCATTTACATTTAGGGTGATTATTGATAGATATGTACTTATTGCCATTGCAGGCTTTAGATTCATGGTTGCCAAAGGTTCAAGGTTAGCTTTTTTAGTATCTTACTGTCTAACTTCACTCACTTATTGAGCTATTTTAAACACTGTCTGGTGATTCTTTATTTTTCTCCCTTCTTATTCCTCCTCCTTCATTCTTTATATGTTGGTTGTTTTATTCTGTGCTCTTTCATGCTTCTTTTAACTGCTTTTGTGGGTAGTTGATTTTATTTTTTGCCTTTAGTTAGTATTTCGTTGGTCTGCTTTCTTTGCTGTGATTTTATTTTCTCTGGTGACATCTATTTAGTCTTAGGAGTGATCCCATCTAGAGCAGTCCCTCTAAAATACCCTGTAGAGGTGGTTTGTGGGAGGCAAATTCCCTCAACTTTTGCTTGTCTGGGAATTGTTTAATCCCTCCTTCATATTTAAATGATAATCGTGCTGGATACAGTATTCTTGGTTCAAGGCCCTTGTTTCATTGCATTGAATGTATCATGCCATTCTCTTCTGGCCTGTAAGGTTTCTCTTGAGAAGTCTGATGATAGCCTGATGGGTTTTCCTTTGTAGGTGACTTTTTTCCTCTCTCTGGCTGCCTTTAATACTCTGTCCTTGTCCTTGATCTTTGCCATTTTAATTATTATGTGTCTTGGTGTTGTCCTCCTTGGGTCCCTTCTGTTGGGGGTTCTGCATACTTCCGTGGTCTGATCGATTATATCCTTCCCCGGTTTGGGGAAGTTTTCAGCAATTATTTCTTCAAATACACTTTCTATCCCTTTTTCTCTCTTCTTCTTATGGTACCCCTGTAATGTGGATATTGTTGCTTTTGGATTGGTCACACAGTTCTCTTAATATTGTTTCATTCCTGGAGACCCTTTAATCTCTCTGCGTCAGCTTCTATGCGTTCCTGTTCTCTGGTTTCTATTCCATCAATGGCCTCTTGTATCTTATCCATTCTGCTTATAAATCCTTCCAGAGATTGTTTCATTTCTGTAATCTCCTTCTGGACATCATCCCTTAGCTCTTGCATATTTCTCTGCAGCTCCATCAGCATGGTTATGAGCTTTATTTTTTATTCTTTCTCTGGAAGACTGGTTAGGTCTGTCTCCTCAGGGTTTGCCTCTGTGATCTTGGTCTGTATCAATTTCTTCTGCCTTTTCATGGCGATAGAGGTATTTGTGGGGAGCTGGCACATGTGTTGGCTACGAGAGAGTCCCTTCTTGCTGGTTTGTGGCCTTCCTCTCCTGGGAGAGCAGCGGCCTCTAGTGGCTTGTGCTGGGCCGCTGCATGCAGACGGGGCTTCTGATCTTGCCCGACTGCTATGGAGTTTATTTAGCTCAGCGGTTGCTGTGGGTGTGGCCTGCCTCAGGTTGCTGCTCTGATATGGCGGAGCCACGTCGGAGGGGGAACGGGCGGGGGGCTGTTTATCGCGGTGAGGGGCCTCCGAGCTGTGCTGCGGGGATTCAGGCGCCCAGAGTTCCCCAGGATTCGCAGCTGCTGGGCTAAGTGTCCTGGGGCGCTTCTGTCCAGCTGTGTGGTCCCTGTCCCTTTAAGACTTTCAAAAAGCACTCGCTTTTCTTTGTCCTGGGTGCGCCGGCTGCGGGGACCTGCTCACAGGTCTTACTGCCCTGTTTCCCTAGTATCCAGGACCCCCCGCATGCACTGTGTCTGCACTCTGGTCCGCATGGCTGGGGCTGGGTGCTCAGCAGTCCGGGGCTCTCTCCCCACTCCGACTCCTTTCCTCCCGCCGGGAGCTGGGGTGCGGGGCGCTTGGGTCCTGCCGGACTCGGGCTTGTATCTTACCCCCTTCGTGAGGCGCTGGGCTCTCACAGGTGTGGATGTGGTCTGGCTGTTGTCCTGTGTCTTCTGGTCTCTCTTTTAGGAAGAGTTGTATTTGTTTTATTTTCTAAAATATATATGGTTTTGGGAGGAGATTTCCGCTGCTCTACTCATGCCGCCATCTTGGTTCTCTCTCTCATTCCTAGATTTTAAGCACCATAAGCAGCATATTCACTAACCTTGCATGTTCATTTTTGAGGGAACAAGTGGGGCTGTTGGGTCAAATGCTAGCTACCTTTACTATATTTCCTGGAAGGGCGTCAGCAGTGCAATGAATGAGGAAAAATGAAGTGGCAGTTTTATGTAGACTTTCCCACAGGTGAATATCACAGTTCCTAGGGGTCCCCACAGTCTGAATGTGGAGGGGCTGTGCCTCGGGCTCTTTTCTTGGTGCAGGGCAGGCCGAGCCTCGGTCCCCTGCAATTAGCCGTCTCTGCGGGTGAGCAGCCCTGGTTCCGGGTGTTGAGCCTGTGCTGCTTCACTTTGTTTATTCTAGGAATGAAAGCCTGAACATTGCTGTGTTTCCAGCTGTGATTATTCCATTTTTATTAGCTTGTTTATATGTTTCATGGATTATATATGCTCATAGGTTTACTGATTTTAGAACTATTCTTGCTTCCTGAAGACAAACTTTTGTCTTCAGATTTGCTTTTAGTTACTCATGTTTCCTTCATTACACTATCCTTACATCCTACTTTTGTGGTAAGGTTTGGTATTAAATGTTATGGAATAAACTGAGGACTGCCCATGTTTTCTGTAGCATGAAAAGGTTTGAATAAATACCAGTTGTTTTAAGGTTAGCTAGGTCACAGCCATGCAGACCTAGGCTGGTGCTCTATATTTTGTAATCTGCTTGGTTACCTAATATTTGATGAGCATTTTTTCCCCTGATTAAGAGTGGGATTCTAGGTTGAAGGGCAGGAACGTCTGAGACTTTCAATTATAATTGCCTTTTAACTATCGCCATACTTAGAATGCATCTTTTTATTTTCTTAGTAATTTTGTGCCCAGCTGTCTCCCAAATGCCTGTTCAGTTTGTTCAAGGCTGGATCTAAATGAGGTCTGCACGCTGCACTTGGTTAGGCCTCTTTCTAGGAGGCTCCTTTTGTTTTCTTAATGTGTTGGAGAACTCAGGTCACTTGTCTGGTAGAGGTTCCCCATGGCTTTAGTGGGGTCTTCTGACACTGTCTTCTTCCTGTGTTCCCTGTAAACCTACACTCCAGAGAGTCCTGACAGACTTGGGTTCTGTTTCCTTGACAAGAGCATTAGCGGGCGATCTGTTTTGTCTGGAGATGTGCTGTGCTGGGTGGCCATTGATCGTTTCCTGGATGCATCCCTTCATGTAACCAGGGTTTTGGGAAGGCAACCCTGCAGTCTGTCGTTCTTTCTTCGTTTATCAGCTGGAAGTTCCTGTGAAGAGAAACATCTGCATTGAATTCTCCTGGTTGCCCTTGGAGACTGGGTGAATGCTGGATCTCTTTAACTGCCAGTTTTCCAGATACCCTTAAAGTTGACATTGACCCCTCCCTATAGGTGTTTGTTTTTCAGTAAATTATGAACTCACAGATGAAAACATTTGATGTCTCTGTGTTTTAATGCTCAAATTAATCCCATTGGACATCTCGCTACCTCTCAGGTTGGCTCCTGAGGTTTTCAGAAACAGACTCACAGAACTGTTTACCATGCATGGTGCATGCAAATAGTGTATATTCTGGTGAGTTCCTACAAAGTGAACACAACTCCACGAGTGCCATGGTCAGGAGAGGGCAGCAGCCCAGAGCTGCACCTTGGCCCCCCAGTGAAGCTGGCTGCGGCCCCTTCCTGTCTGGAGCTCCTGGCTCAGCACCACTTTTGGGGACGTGCCTGTGTGTGTACCCTCTTCTTTTTCCTTCTCTGTTGCATTGTGCCTTTCAGTGTGAACAGAGAACAGCTTGTCTGCCTTGTTGGTTGATATTTGGGTGTTTTGGCCCACTTGAACACAGCTGCTTTGTAAGCGTCTTGTGTGCATCCCTTTCTCGTGGAGCTGCTGTCCTAGGCTAGTGTGTGTCCAGCTTTAGTAGGTGCTGCTGTGCTCACGGTGTAGGAGAGTCTGTTTCTTCCACATCCTCGGTATTTGGTGGTATTCATCCTTTAGTTTTAACCGTTCTGGTGAGTGTGTGGTACGTGTGGCTCTAGTTTCCATTTCCCTGGTAAGTTATTTTTCTTGGTCTTAGATTTTCCTAGTTGTTTGTCCAGGTGTTTTGTCCACTTTCCTTTCTTGTTTGCAGATGTGCTACATATGTTCAGGGGTAAATCTTTCACTGGATGAATGTGTATTTTTCTCTTAGAATTTCTTACCTTTTGAGTGTATTTCAACTTAACAGTCTTTACAAGCAGAGCCCTTTGTGTCCTTCAGAACTTATGTCCCTGTGGTTAGCCCTCCCAACAGGCCCCCAGGTCTGGCTTCCTGTCACCACGTGACAGACGGTACAGGTTTTCTTATGCATTTCTTGTCTAAACCTGGCATCAATCACATCTTCAAAAGCTCTGGTTTCTTTTGGTTGGAAACAGTATTGAGGCCCCAGTATTCTCTGGGGGTGCTCACTGCACCCCTAGAGCATCTTAGTGAATAGAGCTAAGAAACATTTTTTTAACTTGGTCTTAATTTTAATCCCCTTTTAAAAATGAGAGGAAGGGAAGTTTGGTTTCAGAGTATTAGTAAGTGCCAAAATAACAACAGAGCTGGTCAGCAACCTGAACCGTCTTTCCAGTCCAATGAAGTAAGAAAGATTTTTTATTTGCTGAATAAGACATTAATGTTCCAGTCTCCTTGTAACGTATTCAGGTGAATATTTGCAAAAGTCCTGCTCAGAACCCTGGCCTCATTTTCTTTTTTGATTTGTTACAGACCCTACATCAGTTTTTATCTCTGACATCTTCCCCAAAAGGGACCATTGAGAACATTTTGGATAATGACCCAAGAGACCTTATAGGAGACTTCTCCAAGGTAATTGCCAGCTGAGTTGCTCTGGTGTGGTGTGCCGTTTGGGGAGTTAGGTAGGGCACCCCTCAACCTTCCTTCCTCCCTGAGGTGGCTCTTGTCCCTGCGGGGACACAGTGTGAAGTGTTTAAAGATAGGAAATAGGTCCATGATCAGGTGTATCTTGGTCTCTGTGGGACTGTAGTCTTTCCTGGTGCTGATCTGAGGTTTCAAGTTGGCCACCTTGCCTGCAACCTAAAGGCCAGGTTCTCTGGAAACTGTGTTTCTGATTATGAAATAGTCATGCAGCAAAGTATAAAGAAGCGTAAATAACCTGTAGTCTCACTGCTAGTCTGTGTATCAAAAGGTGTCTTAGAAGGTCCAGAGTTGAGGCAGACCTTCTCCATGGCCCCTGAGGGAGAAGGCCCACAGGGGAGTTCAGAGGAAGAAGGCCTGCCTTTGGCCTGGTAGGCATTTGCTGGGGGTGGGGGCCACCCTGAGCCGTGGTGCAGTAGGAGGGTGGGACTGGCCCATGTCAGCAGCCTGTGGCCATGTGTGATTGGAAGGGTACCAGGTCAGTCTTCATCTGTCGGAATATCTAACATTCATACGTGTTAGGCAAAGATTCCAAAGCCAGACCCAGTTCCTTCCCTCAAAAACCAAACATTGGTGGGAAGACCTGTCACGTGGGTGGATGTAAACCCATGCAGCACACGAAGGATTTAGGCAGAGACTCAAATAAGTGGGCCGTCTCTGCGGGGTGGGGACACGTGGGTCTGGGCTAGGGTGGTTCAGCCAAGTGGGTTTTGAAGGAACAGGACTGAACCAGGAGACACTCCCAGCCTGAAAGAAAGTACAGCCAAGACCTGGGTGTGTCCCTCAGGTGGCGCCTCCCACCTGACACTGGCTTGTGTTTGTCACGACCTTGCGCCTGGCCCTGTGGGTGCTGAGCTCTGCCCTGATGAGTGATGGCTGAGGTGCCCACCTCTCCCTCAAGGTCGGGCTGGGGCACCACCACCAGGCACCATGGGCAGAGCCAGAGCCCCACGGCGAGGTGAGCTCATCCCCACTGTGTGTGTGAGGCTCTTCGTGGTCTGGCTCTGGGGCGAAGGCTCCTGACCAGCAGGGAACAGCAGTTACCTGCGGCCTCTTACTCACATCCGGCTCACCAGGGAGCTGTGCTCAGCTCTCACGTCAGTGCAATAACACGTTTATAGGCTTTCTGATGGCTGAGGTTTTCTTCTTCTTTTTTTAAGGGTTATCTCTTTCATACAGTTGCTGGGAAACATCAGGATTTAAAATACATTTCACCAGAAATTGTAAGTCATCCTTTTGGAATCTGCCACACATGGGGTATTTGAATCCAGTTCTTGGCAGCCAAAGTTGATTCTCCTGGGCTTTCTCTCCACAGATGGCGTCTGTTTTGAATGGCAAGTTTGCCCACCTCATTAAAGAGTTTGTCGTCATTGATTGCCGGTACCCGTATGAATACGAGGGAGGCCACATCAAGGTATGGGTTCTTGGGGCTTGCAGTTGAGGCCTGCCGTTGTGGGAGGCACAGAAGGAACCCTCAACAGGACCAGGACCTATGGTTTCCCTGAAGAGACGGTGGTTGTGTAAGGCCTTTGACCCCATCACACCGCATCACCATCAAGGACATTTTGGATGGTGTCCACTGATTCCCAACCAGGCCTGAACACTCAGGGCCCCTGACTAAATCCGGTCTCTGGCAGTGTGTCCCAGTCACTGCCGTTTTAGTGAGGCCTCTGAAATTTACAGCTGGGTCACATTGCCTGGTGGAGGGCAGTGTTGGGACACACTTTCCCAGGAAGAAGGAACTGGATGTGCCCTTGTAGTCTTTTGACCAATAACATAGTGTTGACAGGCGGTAAGGGGGTACTTTAAAGAAAGTGTCAGTGTTTGCCAGTGTCCAACTGTTTTTGAAAGTCCCCAGTCACCAGTACCACTCACCAGGCACACAGAGCCATGCCAGGAGTTGACGGGTCCAGTGAAAGCTCGCTCCCAGAATCGGTCCTGTCTGCGGGGACGAGCAGGTGCTGAGTGTGTGTGCCCCACAGGGCGCAGTGAACTTGCATATGGAGGAGGAGGTCGAGGACTTCTTGCTCAAGAAACCCATTGTGCCCACTGACGGCAAACGCGTCATTGTCGTGTTCCACTGCGAGTTTTCCTCTGAGCGGGGCCCGCGCATGTGAGTGCTACCCGGGGCGGGCTTGGCTGGGGGCATCTGTGGGGTGTGGCACCAACATTTGCTCATCACGAGGCTTTACAGAAGTACAGGCTCACGTGTGGCAGGTTTTCCCAGATTCTTACCTGTTCAGCAGCAGGTTGATTTTGTGAACAGCTTCCTTGAGTAATTTTTAATAGACGTGACCTGGCTGTCTATTATGAAGGCTTTTGCGTGTCCCCAGTCCTGTCTGTGATGCTGGGTGGGGCTGCGCCGAGAAAACAGGGTCAGACAGTTGAGGGAGGCGGGGATGGGAGGAGGGCAGCTCCTGCGGGCCATGGTCTCGCGCCACCCTTGTGTTTTGAGTCATCTCGTGTACGTGTCACATGATTTCCTCAACTGCTGGTCAGTGTTTTGCCGCATGTTCACACAACTACATGAGGATTCAGCTTGTGATGGTCCCCAAGTCCCCTGGCATATGTGTCCTCAGAACGAGTGCCATGCCCTGCATTAGCACAAGACTGATCACATAGAGCCAAGCGGGAACTAAGGGCCCTGTGAGGGGGCGCATTCACTCTGTGCTGTGTCTGATACCATTCTCCATGCAGGAGACAATCGGCAAACCCCTGCCTTTGGGGAGCTTTCACTCCAGAGAGGGCAGGAGGCAGGCAGTGTGTAGCTGTGCCGGAAGGTGCTTCAGGGCCTAGGGCCACACAGCGAGGCCAGACTGCAGAGTGTGGGGCTGGCCTGACGAGTAGGCCCCTGCCAGACCTGGAGCTTCTGTGCCAGGGGATGGGCAGGAGGGAGCCACCAGCCGGGGGTTGGGGGAGGCTCTTGGGGATGCACCCCAGCATCCAGTGCAGAAGTGCCTAAGGCAAAGGCAAGCTCAGCCTGTCAAAAGGCTTAGGACTGAAGGGGTGGCTCAGGTGGAGGAGGCAGAGGGGTGCAGGCCGGGTGGGGACCAAGTAGGCAGGAGGTGCTGGGCAGGGGTCATGCCCCAGGGCTGCTTCCCTTGGACCATGGGCAGAGCTGCTGCTTTCCTGCTGGGGCTACACTGCTCCCGAGGGGCACCTGGCCAGGCTCCGTGCAGCACAGATGTCCCAAGGGTAGAGGTGAGTTGGGGTGCATATGGAGCCTGGCCCACAACCTCTGCTCCCAGGGTTGGCGCTTTCATGTTTTCTGTTAGAAGAGCTCAGCAGTGTGGCCTTCCTCCCCTACAGGTGCCGCTACGTGAGGGAGCGAGACCGGCTCGGTAACGAGTACCCCAGGCTGCACTACCCAGAGCTATACGTCCTGAAGGGTGGGTACAAGGAGTTCTTCCTGAAATGCCAGGTGAGGTGGGGTCTGAAGAGCATGGTCGCGCCCTGGGGACAGTGGAGTGGGTCTGGGGGCCCTGGCTACCTCTGTCAGGTCTGCACCATAGCCCCAGCCAGGGAGGGAGCTGGCTTGGGTGTGAGCAGGTGACCTAACCCATCCTTGTCTCCTGCCAGTCTCACTGTGAGCCCCCCAGCTACCGGCCCATGTACCACGAGGACTTCAGGGAGGATCTCAAGAAGTTCCGCACCAAGAGCCGGACCTGGGCTGGCGAGAGGAGCAAGCGGGAGATGTACAGCCGTCTCAAGAAGCTCTGAGGGGTGGTGGCGTCACAGGCAGCAGCCTGAGCCTCCTGCGTCCTCCCCACTGCTTCCCCCATCACGCAGAGGAGCTGGAGCAGAGCTGGGCTGTGCAAGGAGAGGGCCTGGGGCTGTCCGCCTGAGGCCCGCCTCCCACTCCCAGGGCCAGAGCCTCGAGCACTGGCCGCACCTCGTCCATCCCTGGAGACATTCTGCTGCCTTGGGCGGAACTGGCTGCGGGAGCCACAGGCGCACAGCAAGCACCACAGTGTCCCCATGGGTGGGCCCTGTCCCATCCCAGGGGAGGGCAGAGGAGCAGGGTGCTGCTGGCCAGACACCGGAGACAACCGGAAGGGAGTGGTTTTGGTGGGACAACCCGTGTGTAACTTATTCAACTTCATCACTTTTTTTTTTTTTTAACTCCTGGAGACTTTATGATTTAACTGCTTCTTTAATTCACAGTACTGCCATTCTAGCTAGGGTTTTATCTTCCCAGGGACTACCTCCACCTTTAATTTAGAAAAGGAAGGAGGGGGAAGGAGGTGAGCTGGTGTTTGCAGGGCAGAGAACTGGGGGCTGTCGCCTGAAGGTGCTGTGGGAGTGGACCCAAGGAGGGGGCTGCAGGACCTGAACTAGCCCTCCCACACCTTTGTCAAAGGCCGTTAATCCGTTTTGGGGTGCCTCCTCCCACACCTTCCCTGTGACACGATTGGAGTGGGAATGGAGCATCAGATTGATGTCTGGGCTGCCTGTGTAGACAGGGCTGTACTGTGTTCCTCAGGAAGCAGGGTAAGCTTGAAGGCTGAGCTTCCCCAGTTTATCATGTTTCAGCTTGAGGGGTGGGGAGTGATGGGTCATCATGTTGCCCCTCACCCAGCCCCATGGAAGTGGAGGTCTCACGAGCACTTTCCATCCCAGGAGCCAGGCTGCCTCGATTCTCGACGGCCTGTACCTTCCCCGCGCATCCTCTCTGGGCTCCTCGCCGTCTCCGCCCCCTTGGGTGGGGAGGCCCAGTGTTCCTTAGAAGAGTCAGTCTCTCCTCCCACCACCTGTCTCGCTTCCCACTCAGGTGGGAAGGGATGTGGACACGAGGTGGCTGGTGGCCGTGTTACGGGGTTGAATTGCGTTTGGCTATAAAACAACCTTGTTGGGAAGTCTGGGGAGGAGGGGACAGGGAAGGCCTTGTCTCCACACCGAGACACACTTCAGGTGGCAGGTCTCAATCTCGTTTGTAGGGATTCTTTTGGTTAAACACCTGAAAAGGAGGTGGCCTTCAGACTGTACCAGTTAACTAACTTGCAGACTGAAAATAAAAAACAATCTTGAACCCATGCTGTCTGCCTAGTTTTGATGGAATTAAGAGATTTGTATTCCCTGTGAGGTTCTGGGACCACCGCTGACAAACCAGGGACTGGAGTAGCTGCAGGAGGCCAGAGGGCTGGCCTGTGGCCTGGCTTGGGGATGGCTGAGATGGCTTCCAGTTAGTAATGATCCAAAATTTGTTATGCAGATTGATTTTCGAGATGAGATAGGGACATCAGAAGTTTGCCTGAACCACTGACACTCACTGCAAGGTCTGTTAGTGCACGTGGATAAGCAGCAGCCAAAGGCAGGGGTTTCAGCTGTCCTTCAGGAGCCAGAGGATGCCACAGGCGAGGCAGTAGACTGGTAAGGCGTCGGCCCATGTGGGCAACATGGAGGTGGGGCTGGGGGATTTGGCAGGAAAGGGCCACTGGAGGAGCAAGGCCTCTGCCCAAGCAGCAGTGTCCAGCGTGGAGGGCGCTCATGTGTCTCTTCTAAATCTCCCACGAATGTGGCAAATGCTGAAATCCAGAGTACTTCACCCATGGTTGCACCTCACGTCCTGTTCAGACATTGTGCTCCCTCCTGGCTTGCATCCACAGTGGAGGCGTTCATCCTTTTCAAAAAGTTGTGAACTGATGTACGATGGGCACCCCCATAACGCCCTCTGCAGTGAGTGCCCCGTGCTTAGCTCGTGAAGCATAGAGGAGAGAGCCAAGTCCTCAGTGCCAAAGGCACGCGGCCGCTGCTCCTCCCAGAGACAGTGAGTCTAGGCACTCCCACCCTGCCTCTGGCCACACAGCAGTTTCGACTGCGCAGAGAATGCATGTATCTGCCCAGCTTGTGCGGTCCTGGCCGTTCCTCTGACCTGCCCTGTGTTACAGCGCCTTCCCAGAGGCAAGGTGCTCTGCTGCTAGTGGAAGATTCAAGTTTTGATAAGCCTGGACAAATGTCAGGTTTTATGGTGGAAACTGCCAAATCCTCTGCTTGTAATGTACTATGAATATATTTAAAACCACATATAAAATGCTAATGTAGATACACTGCTCTTCCTTAGTCTTTGAGAATGAAATATTTAGATGTTCACACTCTTCATCTGTTTCTGGGCCAAGGACTAGTTCCCTTGAAACCATCTTCTGTTGGAGATGACAGCACATTTCCAGCTTGTGTGTCAACTGCCCGAAGTCTAAGTGCTCTTCCTCACGAGGGTTTCGCTTGTCGGCTTCCTGTATGTTCACAACAACCAGAGGACTATTTCCTGTAGTCAAGGAGAACCTCACATGTAAAGGAGCAACAGGCCTGCCCGCTGCAGCCTCATTAAGTTCACGTGGAGCAGGAGCCGCCGGGTTATTACCCGCTGGTCTGCCCGGCCCAGTGTTGCCACAACCAACTTGCTGACATGCCTACTTAGGTCGGCCCATTCCCAAGGATCTGGTGGCTCCTTGTTGCCACCAGGAGGAAACCGGAGTTCTGGCCCACATGCTAGCATGTGACTCCTCACCCGCCGCACGAATGGCAGGACTTCCTGGGACATTCCCCCGTCTGAATTTTGTTTGGAGCTGGAAGGATGTATGAGAAGGAGCTCCCCACTCATAACGCACACATCAGTTTAGGACTGAAGCCCCTGCCTACCCCAGCGTGGCCACAGCCCTCTGGCCTCCCAGGGTCCCATCGTCCTCTGGCAACATGGTCCTGTCTGAGGCAAGAAGATGCCAGTGGCGTGTCATGCTGTGAAGCTTCATGTAAATACTCTATTTTGTGGGCATCCACCTGCTGCCCACTTTGGCTTTACTGCTCTGCTGATACATGGAACCACGTGAGGGCCACCCTCCAGCAGGGACTGTGCTGCGGCTCCCCCAGACTTGAATTACAGTGCTTTTGAAGTAGATGGTCCTCTGTGGCCACCCCATCCCAACATGGGCTCCGGGTTGAGATGTCCTTGGGTGCCCAACACCCACTTCAAGCTCCTGGTAGAAGAGCTGGTCTCTCTCACTCATGCAGCCGAGCATTGTGCTGGATGCTGAGGGTGAGGGGTGAGGACGCAGGCTTTCCTCTGGGAGCTCCCCCACTGGTGGGAGCCGTACTCCAAGGTCAAGAGCGCATGGGAGGCACACCCGTGTCACAGGGCCTGCAGACCAGTCCCCAGGAGACCGTACTGGGGAGAAAGAGCCGGGAGCACACGGAAGCTGCAGCGGGGAGCCAGGAGCCTCCAGGACTTCCCAGAGCCACCAGAGCAGGAGACGCCAACTTGTTGGGGCACAGGTTCTGATTCCTTGGGGCTGGGTGGGCTGCCTGCGAGGCCTTAGGGCACTAGGGCACTCAGCCCTGGCAGGGCGCGCAGTTGGGAGCAGTATGGGAGGCCTCCGCACCTAGAGCAAGGACCCCTGGGGCTGCCACTGGACGAGCTGGTGCCCAGCTGTGTTCTCCATAAGTGTCAGCAGCCCACAAACAAGAGGCTGTGGAGCTCTTCCAGAGTGAAGGGGTCTCCAGGCCAAACCAGCCAACAGGATAAAGCACTGAAAAGGACATTTTGGGGACAGTTGACAAAATTGTTGATTAAGCTAAAATACTTAGTGTTGAACTTCCTAAATTTGATGAGTATATAAGGACATCCTTGTTCTCAGGATAAACACACTAAATAACATCAAAATTAAGGCTGAGGATGGTGATGCAGCCTGCTTCCCAGCAGTTTTGTTAAAACAACAGAGCAGAACGGTGTGAGTGTGAGAGAGGAAGGCGCAGACACCCGGCCGGCCGGGAGGAAGCAGGGGGAGCGCTGACGATGATTCGGTAAAGGTCCTGGGGGGGCTGTCCTGTCCCTGCATGTGTCTGTAAGAAAACACGGGGTTGGCAGGGCAGCGCTGGGGTGGGTGTCAGGGGACCAACTGAGGGATGGCCCAGAGAGGTCAGGCTGGCGGCAGCCCCTGGTCCCAGGCGTCCAGGTGGCAATGGGAAGGACGGGTGTGGAAGCAGGGTCCTGGCTGGCGGGGTAGAGGGCAGTAGGGCTGGGATCTAGACACGGGCTACCACAGGGCTGGCAGGGAGGCCACTGGATTACCTCACGGTGCTGGTGGCCTGGTGGGAGGGCCTCCCAGTCTCTGTGGTTCTGCACCCAGTGGAGGGGTGCTACATCGCGGGCCCCAAGTCAGCAAATGCCCCCACCTCAGTGAGGGTATCACGGCCATCCCTGCCCAACCTGCTGGCTTGCTGGCTGCAGCCTCAGGACCAGGAGGAGCCAGAGGGTGGGGTGGGGGCTCTACAGGGCCCTGGCCTCAGGCGCACAGAGCAAGGCCCAGGGGGACGTGGGGGTGGGGGTTAGCAGTGTGTACTTTTAATACAGGCATCAAATTAGCCACTGTGGAAGAACACCACATCTCTCTTGGGTTTCTTAGCCTGGTTCCCTGTCTGTCTCACACAGGGCCAGGTCTTCTCAGTCTCCGCAGCGTCTGGCACTTCCCCCTTGGGTGGTCCTGGCCAACTGCTAGACTCTAATCAAGAAAGGTGGCCTCTGTTTCAGCTCTGGCTCCACCCCAACTAGCTACGGGACCCTGAGTGAAGCCCTTACCTCCTCTGGGTTTGACAGGCCTCTCCTAGGACTGACGGGCGGGGTGGCACCAGGGCTCTGCTTCATCCCTGCACACCTGTGCTGTCCCTGCTGACACCTCTGGGGAACCCCGTGCTTCCAGCCCAGAACTCGTTTCTTCCTGCAAAAATGTGTAAGTATTGGAACCTAAAACTCAGTTGGTAGTTTAAGCCACTGAGGAGAGAGTGTATCCAGAAGTGTGCTGGGGATTCAGAAGGCAGCGGGGGTGGAAAGGCAGACAGAACACAGTGAAAAGGCCTGCCTACTTTGGATTTGAGTTCCAGAAGGAAAGTATAGGAGATCAGAGGTAAGGCCGCTTTTAAAGAAAGAATGCTTGATGAAAAACTTGAATCTGCAAAATCAAGAAACCCCAAGAACCTTAAGCAGAGTTTAAGAAGAAATCTGCAGCTGGACACACAATGTGGGCCATGGGGTCTTGGGCTCACCACGTGTGGTGTAACTGAACAGTGTAACTGGAAACCCCCCCGGCAAGAACAGCAACACGAACAGAGCAAAGCACAGAAGCAGGCGTTCCCACTGAGGGCTGAGTCGTGTGGGGGGGCGGACACGCAGTAGCTTGGGAAACCATCCCAGGGCCAAGGCCAGTCCTGGGAGAAGGTAAACATGCAGATCCCCATTTCATCCTGGTGCAAACGGGCAGGCAAGCTCACAGTCCCTACTGGGCTGTGTGCTCCTGGAAACGGGGTGTGCAGGACCCCACAGCACCCTGTATCTGCCATTCAAAACCCACCCGAGACCCTGCACGGAGCTCTCCACTGACGCCATCATAGGGCCGTGTCCAGAGGGGACTGGCCAGGCTAGGGAAGGTAGCCTTTGTAAATTGTTCTTTTAAGATATTTATAAAATGTTGTGTTATATATTATTGCAATCTTCAGTATTTTTCAAGTACAAACAAGCAAAACAATGTGATTTTATTTTAAAACCTAGGCTGGCAGGTCTGGGCACCCAGCAGTTACTGGGCTTATAGCCGACACCTGTGGCTTCAGGGCTCCCAAAGGGAGAGGCTTCACGTGGCTGCAGAAGAAAAGCCATTCTCTTCAGCCTACTT